GATATAATAGAGTGCGAAGGTGTGGTTACCGAAGAATAAGAAATACCCTTTATAAGCCGGCAGATATAGACTAGATTTAATTTAGTACGTCTGGTCAGTGGTGAGCATTTTCTCATATCAATAGGGGGTTCTTATTCTATTATCTAAACTACAGAGGGAAAAAATGGCATTTCTAGCGTCCAACTTAAAATTCTGCATGATTCTGGGTAGCAACATAGAATCGTTATTTCTCTTAGAGTCTCATTTGGATTGTAGGTGATGGCTTGAAACACACGAAATAAGGACAGAACGATAGGTAGTACTTGAATGCCTTACTACTCTGAAGATTGACCCCAAGTGTCGTTATCTATTATCATGGTATATAACTGAGATGATTCACTGCTTTTTATTAGAACCACTTTAAACGCGCCTTTGAATAAGCAATTATGGACGAACTAAAACTCTAAACCACTTGGTAAATATCCAACGGTGTTGATGTCTAACTTCAATCAATCCATGATCTTGCTCAACACTTCATCGATTGTATGAGGTAGATAACTGACTCCATCCGAAACGGATTGGACTCCATTCCTCACGACTTCTCACTAGAACTACAGGAAATCAATCTTGAAGCTAGTCACTTGTTCCGTATGCGCACTGCTGAGGGGTCTCATGCTAGGACGAAACGACCGTCCAGTGCTTCCAGGTTTTCAATGGTGATCTAGTTTATATGGACTCATGAATTCAACTATTAATATTGACAATAAACTTTAGTCTGAGTGATCATCCGTTTACTTTGACCTCAGCAACTACAGAGACATGTTCCTGAACCTTCGGTAAATCAACCAAGACGTCAGTGACTTGTAACAAGTTGCTGTTGATGCATTCGCCAACTAGATCATGAGGTCACTACAAAGACACCACCGATTAGAAACGACGCTAATCTTTTATGCACCTTTTAAGGATCTCCTCTCTTTTCTTATGGTACTTTCATAGGAATTTTGTATTCTCCATATCACTCTCGTGTTGGTTCCATAAGCAAGTGACTTTACATAACTTTTGCAATGTTATGAAACTGTATACTCTCCTACTTTTGCCCATAACTCAGTAGTGCGACGTATACCTGGAAACTCTATTCGGGAGGTTATGTTAGTTAAAACCCGAAAATATCGTGAGCTTAGCGCTTATTATTTCATGATAATATAAACTATAATTCCCAAAGATCTGGGCGAGTAATCCTTAAACTCGATGGTCTAACGGTTAAGCGTTCGCGTGAGATCGAAGGTCCTGTGTTAGATCCCCAATTTCAGGGGCGTAGTTGCGCACTTCTGAGTAGTCAAATACTAAGACGAAGTATCCATCCAGTGCTTTCAGGTTCTCAATAGCGGGCTGATATTGATTGGTTAGTGATTTCAACAAAAAGTCGACAATCTCCAGAACCCCATAGTGACAGTCCTCAAACTGCTGGAGAAATACTCCATACTGATTACATCATGTAATCGCCTTTAAATGTTAATGATTACCCAACTTTGACAAAATAATTTCTTATACGAAACATGGCGCCAGAATCATATGAGCATAACTGTATGTATGACACTTATCACCATTAGGTCATCGTGACTATACAGTAGATATATGAGACTAGAACTGTTTTGAGAAAAAAGATAGCAACACATTTTTCTAAAAAGAATTCTTTGAATATTCAAAGTTAGTAAATTGATGTGACCCTCTGAAATCCCTCCGAAAGGCATGTTTAAGACAACTTTATAGAAATAACAGCTCATAACTCAGCAGCGAATTGCCTGGTTGAACAGTTCCAAGGATAGTTGGAAGGCTTGTCTATGATTTAATACAATCAAATGGCTTGATTTCTTACCACTTGTTCTCAATGAAACTCACCCGACAGTCAAAAAGGAGAGCTGTCGCATGTCAGCGGAGGTAGTTTACGGCACACATCTGATTCCAACAAGATGGCTGGTCAGTTCTGACGACAAAACACCAGTGAATCTGCTGTTTATTTATTACAAACTGATCATCAACGAGTACTTCCAGGCGAACACATAACAGCTTAAGTTAGATGGTTACGAGTTATCAGATAATTTCTTGTTAACGTCAAAACGTTATGGCTCAAGTATTTATTGACTTCTGTATTTTGTGCTGGTATTATATTTCCTACTATCGCATACATAGTGTTTAAAGGTCTGTAGTCTTAAGAAGTATGACATCACGCTCCAATTGTTCTCTTTCACCGTTTGGACTGAAGCCTACTACAACCAATCTACAGGATTTTGGGCTACATAAAATGAGTAATTGCCAAAACCAAATTAGTATTTGCCATGTACAACTCGACAAACGTTTAACGATGTGCGAATTCTCTTTGTTCATATCTACTTATTGAGGAAGCCACCACAGCAACATTATGAAGGTTCTTGTCAAGTTATCAATCAGAAAGCTTAACATCATCGATAAAGATATGAAGGAGACTTTTGACAAATCGACTAAAGCCTTCATTCTTAGATAACCAACACAGAGGAGAAAATGTCACATTAAACAAGCAAACTCAACTGCATTTTACATAGAACTAAAAAAACAACAGCACATTAACCAACGAATGCACGTTTTCAACGTCTCAGCAGATCAGTAAACAGACTCAAACGCTACTTTTTACCTCGTAAGTTAATAAAAATTAAATACGAAAAAAGTATTAACGAGTAAAATTCACACCCAGTCCATTCGGGTCGTTAAGAGTAATTGGTTTTATCAAACGCGGTGATTATATCACTATTCTCATTCAAATTGCTTGGTGAACTCACCATTTATCTATATCGTAATTGCGCGTATATATTTTAGAATGTTTGTTATTAGTCAATGTCAGGACAGCTTTTTTATCTGAATATATCTATGGAGTAGATTGGTTTCGTATTATTATAAAGGACCATTCACAGTTACACGTTTTTAGGTTACATAATTATATATATATATGTTGTAACTGTAAAGTAACATCACACAGCATCAATGCACATCCTATGTTTCTAAATATGTGTATTTGCACTATCATTTTCGCAAATCAGCACCACGTATTTTCGTTTACGTTTTTGGGCGTGTACTCTTCTTCCCACTTTGGACACTCTGGAGGGAGCTCTGAAGAGATGATTAACATAGACTTATTTTGCAAATAATTTTTGTCCTTATCCACATCTTTCGCAAAGTCACCTAGTTTATATAGTCATTTTTGTTGACTACAAATTATTGTCAAAATGTGACCTTGACTTTCCCGTTACCAATATGTGATTGGTGTACATGACACACTGATTAGTGATTACATCAAGACAAAAACTTGTGCGAATTTTCGATGGTTTTAATACAAAAATCAAGTTATATCAAAATTGATAGTGTCTTAACAGAACCACTATTACTATGTAGTCGAACGTCATGCAGGGAGAAATTAGTAAATACAACTATTAGTACCTGTGGATCAACAAAAATATCCCCAACCGAATAGGGTCAAATTTATATCCATAAAGACTGAAATATTTAATAAGGCAGTCCCAAGAGACATTTAAGAAAAGATGAGCGACTAATCAACTCTACGGCCTTGGATTCAGTCACGTAAGACCATCAAGAGTGGTACTTGAAGTGCTGAGTTTACTATAAAATTATGTTATAATTTATAAGGTCGTTTGTGGCAGTTTTGTGTGATTATGCATGAAAACCTCTATGCATACACTACCTTTTGATTTAGCTTGTCACTCCAATCATGATTGCGAGTATACAAATGTTCATCCCCTCAGGTATATACCCCACTGATCTTTCGACTCCAAACAAGACGGTTATTATAAACCTTTTTGTGATTCTTGTATTTCTTAATTCTCTACTGAGTCTATGCGATTCTCACGAACATTCAGGTTGTTTTACTTTAAATTTTGATTACAGCGGCTGATGTATTGAGTTCATTCCCTCTTTTATGACTGTGTTGCTTGGATCGACTGTCATTTTGCACCTTTTGATTGCGAAATGAAGTAGGTCTACAGTACTCGCAACACCCAATTTTTAACATATAATCCTTGATACTTTTATCACTGATATTTTCATAGATCTAAATATCAAGTTCTGAACAAACTGTACGTGATCTATCCGGAAAGGATGTAATGGTATTCCTGTTTTAATACAAACGTGTATTACTTAAAACTGGTAGTTAAGTATTCTATGAATTTATCTACTTAATATAATCCATATTTGACTCTTTGAGTTTATGGACCAACTGTTAGTTTAACAATTGAATGATAATATTTGCTGTGGCTATTAAATAAATGTTCATTTACTAGTCACTTTGATCCGAATATCGACTGATCAAGAGCATGAATATCTGAACTAGCCTCCACGAGTGTCATTAAGCCCGAAGCCGCTTTTCATTGAAAATAACTTCAATTTTAATGATTTTGATTATTATGGATTGACCTGAGCTTTCACCTTGGTTTGTTAGCATAGATGGATTGCTGCTAGCAGTGGTGTACAGGACGCGTGTTTCGTCCTTTTTGGGACTCGCCAGCTGGATTCGCATACATCCCAGAGTTGAGGTTCACTCCGAGACCCCAACCCAGTACCTTACTTCTCAGGAGTCATCGCGTTATCCACTTAGCTACCGAGCTTTGATAGACATTAGCTTGTGGGGTCACCCAAACAACCAATAAAGGAATGAATTTCGGATTGTTTATAATTTTAACCTTAGACTTTCGGTTACTGTCAGGCTCGTGCTTCGGCCTTTAACAATTCAGGATTCAGAAGTTAAGTAATTACGGTTCACTATCAGGACTAATATTTACACAAGACTTTTACCGTCTCGCACTATACAAACAAAATTTGGTCATTTCGAGTCTGAAGGTTCGTTTTACCCCCCAGTTGGTTGAGAGTTGAGAATTCACCAAATAATCACTTGTTAGAGCGTCCAGAGTAGAGAACTGTGATACAAAAACGATCATTGTATCAGCGGTTTGGCAATATGATGTTTTTTAATATCTGCAATGAACAGTAATTCACAAGGTTCACACAGTCACGTTTTCCAAAGACCTTGTATAATAAAATTGCCCAAAGATAAAGGTATTACTTTGATACAAGGAAAGTGGTCCTATCAGTGGTCGAGTTTTCAGTCTAATCCGCGTAAAAATGTACGCTCCTAAAGAGAAGGGAGCACAATTCTGTCAATAAGAAACAGAAGCAACCGGTTAGACAATCAAACAAATGATCAGCCATGTTCACGTTATTTGTCTTTAAATTACGTTTGGTATCTTAGGATTCTGAGGAGGGACTCATGATATGGTCCTCCTAAAAAAAGGTTAACGAAAAAGGTATATTCACTTCAATGTACTTGTAACCAATATCCCATAAAGTCACCCCTAGTATGTGACCTAATGATATTTGTCGAGGTCATCAGGAACAGACTGCAGAAGTAATATATGCATGTGGTTTTGGGTTTCGATAGCATAAGGGCTTTGTCAAACCTTTTTTACAGATAATTACTGAGCTAATTGGTACGACTTGCATTTTATATATGTACCTCCCTGATAAAAATCAAATGGAATGTAATATTTCCGCGAAATTTTCTTGTGTTTGATGCCATTTAAATTAGAATTTGGCTGGATCGCTCTAAATAGTGATTATCGCTAGTTGAACGATGTGTTACATAGACAATCAGTCTGTAGAATAGTGCGTGACTATCTTCAATCATATTACTTACTTGACCGGCTACAATGGGCCCTACAACAAAATTATTACGCAGATGTGTCTCAAAAAATATTACACAACAGCAAACAACTTGAGGTTTACACTAAAAAAGAAAAAAAAGTTGATGTTAGTAACTATTTTGAGGTCTTCAGACGACGACACTTCACTCTATTATGTGAACTCCAGAGAACCATGCTAGCCTACACGCAGTCAACCTATCTCATTCGGTCCAAATATGGGATTCCCGCCGTTCTTCAAGTCGTTCAAGGTTGTAAAAGGAAAGCGCGGTCGGGTTTGAAAGTCAGTCACTTTTTTCAATATAATAAACACGGTAAGATAGGAACGACCTTTGATTTAAAAATTGTTGGTCGCTTGGTTGATCGTATCGAAACTTCTATTTGAGTAGTATCAGCCGGCTGGAATGTAATTAAGTCGAGAATTCATATGCATCTCATCGGGAGAATTACTCCGACGGCTGGAATTGTGCAATTCCAGCTAACTGATCAAGTTGCTCGTTACAACTTACTCCTATTCTGAATTGTAACGGATTCTTAATTCCATGCCAGTTCATCTGGCCGTAATTATCAGGTTGTCTTAGTCATACTTCACCATTGTTTGTTGTCGATCACTTTCATTACAAATGCATTCTGTGTTGATTTAGTCGTTCCCTCTCTTTTCTTGTTCTTTCCTCGTTCACACTCCCCTGGCACTTAAGTGCATTCAGGATGAACTCATACCGCCACAGCTAACTTTTATTCAGTGCCCTGTAGTTGTTTTTTGTGCTTCACTTGTATTTATTTCTATTTTATTATTTTTCGAGTCAGTGTACACTAACCTAGTGTAATAGTTCTTGTCGTCATCTCCATTAATATCCACTAAGAATGGATAGTTCACAGTTGTCAATTTGTAATTAATCTTCCAAAGTCAAACAAAGTTCTTATGTTGTTCAGTGCTCCGTAAGCACCATTGATAGACTGTAAATTGAATCATTTCAATTAAGGTTATATTTTAAGATCTTTGGATTAACCTTGCATTTATTTTACGATTCGCGTACAAGGTGACCTAGGATAGTTAGCATGATTTATTACACTCACATTTGTCGTCTAAAATATTTTAGATGTATCAACCAATGTCGCAACTTTAGTTTAAGTGGGTCAAGAAAAAATAACTTTAGACTTGATTCTTCTTTTCTCCTAGTTGGGTTAGGAAAACTCAGGAAAGAAGGATGGTTCATAAGCCAGCAACGGACAAAACACCTCTGGTATACAAGTTTTCTCACCAAGTAACTGACTCCTAGAACCTATTACTGGGAGAATTAGTGTCCAGGCCTTCAATTAGTTCATTTGGAAGAATATACACTCACAGAACCCTTCTAGGACGGGACCAGTACGTGCTCTCGGCATTCTTTCAAGATAAATAATTCAAGTCATGGTGATTTATTTATGGACAGACGTGTTTACATAGTGTTCATGGGCTCTTTGAAGTATCTGTGATTCATCACACAAGGTCATATCCATCTAGTAACCGAAATTACTATATTGGACTTTGTCGAAAGTCTGAATTATTTCAAAATACGGTGATTATACGGATATCTGTCGGTGTACATGAGGCTGTCCACAAGATTGAATGTGAAATCATTTAAACCTGTTATTTTTTGGCTTACACGTTAACCTTTAAACATGGTGTGCATTCGTTCAAACTCCGCCTAACACTATATCAACCTTTATTTGAGGTCTTAGCGTAGATATGTTTACGATAAGAACACCCTGAAACTTAATTTGTCATATGACAGGTGTCAAAAGATATACCCTCCAGTTTGCAACTACTTTTGCGGTATTTTTAAAACATGGACAAATGTCGCTGAACATACCTTAGGCTCTCTTTTCATTCGGCTATCGTCGTGCACTATGAATTTGAGGCCCTTCAATGTCCGTCGACTAGTTTTACTTAACTGTAGTTTATTTTTATGGTCTCTGGATATGGTTTATAATTATGTATGGGCTGTTTGGTGCATAATTTCATGTAGGCAGTCATCCATGCAAATCAAGCAAAATGATTGACACCGACCAAGTAGTCAACCGGAAATACTCAACGTAAAACCTGGCACATATATACATTAGTTCAAGTTACTATATCCTGTTAGCGCAGCAACATGAATTTGTTAGAACAAATCTCAGAGTAGGAAGTGTAGCAACAATATTAGTGGTAACAGAAAAGATTAAGCATTGAAGATACAATTTGAGGCTTCATATTTATCAAAGGGATTGTTATTAAAATCTTTGGAGCTAGTGAGATTTTCTGAAAAATATGGGATAATCATCCACTATCAGTCCATAAGGTTGAAACGATAGGCAGAACACCATGAAGAACAGTTTAACTTTCCTCTAGTTGACTACTTTTACTAAGGAGCCTGAATGGAATATCGACATAAACCTCTCAACTCTTAATGAAGTAGAGAAAACCATAGCTAATCTAAAACGAGGGAGTTTAATTCATTTTGATTATAGTCAAAACATGTTACAAAAATAAGTTTAATCTTATCAAAGGTACATTCGCATAAGTTGAAAACCTTAAACTACTTTATGGAAGAAATAAGCTACCTATCTAGATGAATCACTCTGATTTTAACTATTTGATATTTTATTTTGAACATAATAGAGCACTTGTTTGCGTCGGCGGTTCAGTAGTAAAATGCTCGCCTGCCACACTGGTAGTCGGGGTTCAACTCCCCAAATGTCCTGGCACGGCCGAGGGTGAGGAGAGTCCACTCTCCCTCTCGAAATGCTTTTACATGGCCACGCGTATACACTCACTGCCTTCTCGTGGCGGGGGTGTTTTTTACGAAATTAAGTGGAAGAAAAGCGAATGTCTGGTGCTTTAACCGGGTTGGTGGATATGGAGGACTCATATAGGGTAGTTTGTAAACCCTGATTCCAAACCAATGGTGCACATGGGCTGCAGGATCCCAGGGGAACAAATGGCGTATGAACCTATTGTTGGTTACCGGCTACTATGAGAGTGCATCTCCTAACGTCGCTTTACTGCCTTGTGAATCAGACGTTTAGGTCGAAGACTCCGGTTGTGGCCCCCTAGGAAAACCACCTGCTTCGGTTTGGGCACCCGAACAGTATCACAGCCCACACACAAATCAAGTGACTTGTGTGGCACATATGTATTTGATGCCCCTTTGTACCAATATTTATGTGTTCAAACAGATAAACTTCATGTTTTATTTTCATCGACTAGTTTCTCCTTTGAATCAGACACGCGTTTTGTTATTATTTTATTTCGCGTTATTCTCGTCTTGTTTCGACTACTCATTGTTCATTTCATGCGCCGGCTGAAAATGCATTTTAGATGTATTCAATTAGTGTTAGTCAGTGGAGGAGCTGATGCATGTACTAGTGTAAGTTGTAACAGCATTCCGTAATGGAGAAGGAGAAATGAACAAAATGGAGATTCAGGAGGGGAATTAACACAGTACAATTATGATGATATTAGATTCAATATTTAGAGTCGGAGAGAATAAATGTAACTGGATCAATTTCTGGCCATATCACCCTCTTTATATTCAGTATGACTAATAATATGCTATAAGTTGTCAATGACCGTAGACTTCAAGATGAAATTAGAGATTGTTTATATACTGTATGTTGGATTTGTGTGATTACCAAATATAATTCATGGAAAAGGAAATCAATGTCGATTAAGATGAGTTCGCGTTATATATACAATCGGTTAACTTAAATGTATTTCTGAATTAATGTACTGGAGATTATCAGTCAAAAGCTTCAATCACTAAATTATAGGTAGAGGAATAGGAAATAAGACGATAGCATTTTCGTTCACTGTCTTGTAATTGTAAAATATTAGCATAGTGCCTAAACGTATCACTATAGAATATATATTTTCATATTATTACATTATTAATTCTTAAATTTATTTCTGTTTAAATCAAATTTATAATTTATAAAAATTTCTTCAACACCATTAATCCATACCAGTTTAAAGTTGGCATGGTGTTATTGACAAATTAGAAGAGATCAAATTGTTTTTTTTATTGATTGAAATCATGAACCGATTGATGTTTAGACCACTGTTGGAAACCTGGAAGCACTGAATGACCGTTTCGTCCTATTGTAAGACTCCTACATAGTGTACATCCACGTGTTACGTATTCCCGACTGCCTTGACGTGCGATGTTCAGTGGTATAGGAGTAGGTTGGAAGAAAGCTAGGGGCGGCCAGACCAAAACATGGCACAAATCCATGAAGTCACTGACAAGTGAACTGAGCCATGTTGGTAGGTGTAGACTACCTGATTGTGGACCGCGACATGATAGCAACCGATGGTTAGAGACCCTGATTGACATGGTTCAAAATCGTTTGCAATGGCGCAGGTGCATCCACTCTTTGTGTTCTCCCAAATTTTAATCTCCTGAATCCTCCTTGTCTCTTTTTTTTCTTCCCAAATATATTTCACTGTATTATACTCTTTAAATAACATCTCCAAACCCTAATCTTCCCGATTACTGCTTGTACTCTTGCTACCTCTACCACTATGAGATTTGAATCGACAACTGCATCTGTGTGCTAATGTGGTTGTTAAGTTTGTTTTACATTGTTCCTGCTCATTCCCTTTCTACTCTTCTGTATATTGTTTTATACTACTCATTTACATTCAGTAAGCAGTCGTATTCCTAACAATTTTCAAACTTACATTGTAACGCGAGTTGTTCTGTAATATTCCGAATTGTTCACATATACTTATAACGTTTATTGTACTTATCATTGTATTTATCATTATAATTACTGTATCTTAATCACTGTGGACGTTATCCACAGTTTTGTGCATTTGTTTAAACGCAACAGTTTTGATATTGCTTTGCCCTCGGTTCGAGTTTCGATTGCTCATAAACTGTTATCCAATTTAGACACAGCTATCGGCTGTCTTTGTACTATCGAAGCCTTTGTTATTTTCATTCTTGAAGGACGCGTTTAAACGCCTAGACACCTCAAAAGTTGAGAACTGTTGATTCTATCGAAGCGTCCGAGTAACCCCGATTGAGATACGCGCAAAATCGAAGTTCCAAAACAACGATTTGTCTACAAAAGCGTAAGGTTGTTGGGGCTTTCCGATACGTTGATCGAGAACCCAGTGGGCTTGTGGAACGTCAACTCCAATTAACAACCCTACTCTGTCGCATGTAATAGTAGGTAGCCGTACACCTTTCAAATGTTTCCATCTTTTCTGGAAGTCGGTCGGTGGCATTTCTGCTTTTTTAACAGGTAGGTTATAGATAGTGTATGCACCTTCTATCCTTAGCTTTGTAGCTCCCACTTGCTAACTGTCCGTAAGTGTTCGTGGCGATTGACACTCTCCTTTCTAAAAATTGCAACAAATCATTATCCCTTCAGTTTCTAAGGTGAATTCACCTATTTCTTTAAATCTTGCTCTTGATAATGTTAAACTTAACCCCAAATACAGTTGTTCTGTAGGAGACAACTATGTAGAGACTAGATACAGCATAGAAGACGGAGTAGTTTCTAGGGAAAAGGAAGTAGAAAAGATTGAGCTGGAGATTAGAGAACTTCAACTCCGTGTTGTAACGGGTGTGACTGCAGGGTTTGATACGCAGCGTTACTATCGATCGCTTCTGTGACAGTGACACGTAATACACGTAAGGACGACCTAGTGCCCTGATTGGCCCTGCTTCGCTGTCTGTCCCAGCCAGTTGAGTCAAGAACACAAGCCACAGCCTCGGAGTTATGAATCATTATATTTCAAACATACTTTGTTTATATACCAATCAAGCATACCACATCGTACCATAAAATAGAGAACATTTACAAAATATTTAACAAGTGAAGTAAACATCGACCAATAAGAAATGTACATTTAAGGTCCAAGGCCACCGTAGACTTAACACAATAATTATTGGTATATTTTCCCGACTATCCTAACACCTCCCCTTTTTTCGAATGATCCGGAGTTCATATCTGCATTTTAAAATTTTCTGGGTTCATCCTCCCCCACGAAATAATGTTGGGTCCTCATATCCCCAAGTTAAAATTAATTTGACTTTATTTAACACATGATGGTCACATGGAACAGAGAAGTCACTAAAAGTGATTAAGTAGTGTGGACCAACGTCGCTTGATATGAGGTCATCAACCTTTGATTCTTCTGGAACATTACCATAGAATTCCTTGAAAATCTCATTTGTGGATAGTCACTGGATAATCACTGGGATAATTAACATCTATCAAAATTGTATTCAACTTCTGACCATCATTTGTGGCATCTAACACATTTTCTGGTACAAGAGGATCCAGATAATAAGATTCATCAGAGTCTCCTGTTGTTGACTGATGAGGACCGTTCGGAGCAGCTAGACTCAGTATACTGCACGATTTGTTTCCTGTTTCCTTGTGAGAGGGCACTGGAATTAATTTATGAGCATTTAATGAGAGATCTTCCAGTGAGCTGGGTACATCACTGTCTGTACAAGTTTCAGGAACAGGAGACTCTGATGAATCTTATTATCTGGATCCTCTTGTACCAGAAAATGTGTTAGATCCCACAAATGATGGTCAGAAGTTGAATACAATTTTGATAGATGTTAATTATCCCAGTGATTATCCAGTGACTATCCACAAATGAGATTTTCAAGGAATTCTATGGTAATGTTCCAGAAGAATCAAAGGTTGATGACCTCATATCAAGCGACGTTGGTCCACACTACTTAATCACTTTTAGTGACTTCTCTGTTCCATGTGACCATCATGTGTTAAATAAAGTCAAATTAATTTTAACTTGGGGATATGAGGACCCAACATTATTTCGTGGGGGAGGATGAACCCAGAAAATTTTAAAATGCAGATATGAACTCCGGATCATTCGAAAAAAGGGGAGGTGTTAGGATAGTCGGGAAAATATACCAATAATTATTGTGTTAAGTCTACGGTGGCCTTGGACCTTAAATGTACATTTCTTATTGGTCGATGTTTACTTCACTTGTTAAATATTTTGTAAATGTTCTCTATTTTATGGTACGATGTGGTATGCTTGATTGGTATATAAACAAAGTATGTTTGAAATATAATGATTCATAACTCCGAGGCTGTGGCTTGTGTTCTTGACTCAACTGGCTGGGACAGACAGCGAAGCAGGGCCAATCAGGGCACTAGGTCGTCCTTACGTGTATTACGTGTCACTGTCACAGAAGCGATCGATAGTAACGCTGCGTATCAAACCCTGCAGTCACACCCGTTACAACACGGAGTTGAAGTTCTCTAATCTCCAGCTCAATCTTTTCTACTTCCTTTTCCCTAGAAACTACTCCGTCTTCTATGCTGTATCTAGTCTCTACATAGTTGTCTCCTACAGAACAACTGTATTTGGGGTTAAGTTTAACATTATCAAGAGCAAGATTTAAAGAAATAGGTGAATTCACCTTAGAAACTGAAGGGATAATGATTTGTTGCAATTTTTAGAAAGGAGAGTGTCAATCGCCACGAACACTTACGGACAGTTAGCAAGTGGGAGCTACAAAGCTAAGGATAGAAGGTGCATACACTATCTATAACCTACCTGTTAAAAAAGCAGAAATGCCACCGACCGACTTCCAGAAAAGATGGAAACATTTGAAAGGTGTACGGCTACCTACTATTACATGCGACAGAGTAGGGTTGTTAATTGGAGTTGACGTTCCACAAGCCCACTGGGTTCTCGATCAACGTATCGGAAAGCCCCAACAACCTTACGCTTTTGTAGACAAATCGTTGTTTTGGAACTTCGATTTTGCGCGTATCTCAATCGGGGTTACTCGGACGCTTCGATAGAATCAACAGTTCTCAACTTTTGAGGTGTCTAGGCGTTTAAACGCGTCCTTCAAGAATGAAAATAACAAAGGCTTCGATAGTACAAAGACAGCCGATAGCTGTGTCTAAATTGGATAACAGTTTATGAGCAATCGAAACTCGAACCGAGGGCAAAGCAATATCAAAACTGTTGCGTTTAAACAAATGCACAAAACTGTGGATAACGTCCACAGTGATTAAGATACAGTAATTATAATGATAAATACAATGATAAGTACAATAAACGTTATAAGTATATGTGAACAATTCGGAATATTACAGAACAACTCGCGTTACAATGTAAGTTTGAAAATTGTTAGGAATACGACTGCTTACTGAATGTAAATGAGTAGTATAAAACAATATACAGAAGAGTAGAAAGGGAATGAGCAGGAACAATGTAAAACAAACTTAACAACCACATTAGCACACAGATGCAGTTGTCGATTCAAATCTCATAGTGGTAGAGGTAGCAAGAGTACAAGCAGTAATCGGGAAGATTAGGGTTTGGAGATGTTATTTAAAGAGTATAATACAGTGAAATATATTTGGGAAGAAAAAAAAGAGACAAGGAAGATTCAGGAGATTAAAATTTGGGAGAACACAAAGAGTGGATGCACCTGCGCCATTGCAAACGATTTTGAACCATGTCAATCAGGGTCTCTAACCATCGGTTGCTATCATGTCGCGGTCCACAATCAGGTAGTCTACACCTACCAACATGGCTCAGTTCACTTGTCAGTGACTTCATGGATTTGTGCCATGTTTTGGTCTGGCCGCCCCTAGCTTTCTTCCAACCTACTCCTATACCACTGAACATCGCACGTCAAGGCAGTCGGGAATACGTAACACGTGGATGTACACTATGTAGGAGTCTTACAATAGGACGAAACGGTCATTCAGTGCTTCCAGGTTTCCAACAGTGGTCTAAACATCAATCGGTTCATGATTTCAATCAATAAAAAAAACAATTTGATCTCTTCTAATTTGTCAATAACACCATGCCAACTTTAAACTGGTATAGATTAATGTGCGTACGTACGAAGTTCTACGTTGTCACCAACTGACTGACGTCCATGATCCTGTTCGTGGGATTGGAACCCAGAGCCTTTAGTTTTACGCGTGAACTCTTTACCATTAAACCAGCATTCAATTGTGTTAATGTTCAATATCAATTCGTTTTCAATTTCTTTTTTCAATTCATCATTTATCACTTCTTCTTTCTTTTTCTTTCTTTTTTTCTTCTTAAATAAGACATTATGAAAAAGAAAAGATCTGTTGCTACTGAATTAGTTCAACGTGCTTCATCTATATTACCAGCATTTACTGATATATTTGATGAAGAAACATTTTATATATTTTTTATTTGTCTTGTTATTTTCTCATTTATTATAGCATTTAGTATAGCGAAATATTTTGATGTAACAATTAATGATGCAGATCATTTAAAATTAACTAAACGACAAAAATTCAAACGACATAATTCAATGAATCAACAAAAATGAAAAAGAAAAAAACAACAAAGAAGCTTATTGATTTGTTTTCTTTAAACTTTATTATTATTATTGTTGTTGTTGTTTTTTTCTTTTTGTTTATTGTTTATTTTATCATGATTACTTTAGAAAGAAAAAAAACGAACAAATATCTCCCAACACCAACCCCAACCCTACTCCACCCCCCTCCGTAACTAATAGATCATGATAGTTCAAGTCAATGATGTACTTTTCTTTCATCAAAATATACAAGGTATTATGTTTGTTTGTTTGTTTGTTTGTTTGTTTGTTACCATGAATTGTATTGTATATTTATTCTAGTCAATTGAAAAAGTCTTTTTTTATTGTTGAATGATATTCCTTTCATATTTGTGCAATATCTCCATGTATTATGTCTATTCAATGTGATGAATTCATTTCTTTTATTGTTATGGGCAATGAATTTATATTTTGCTTCAAGTTTACGGTGATCTTATATTAGTATTAGATTGATCTGATCATGTTGTTATGCAAGAATTGAACATTCGTTCATTTACATAAATAAGAAATGAGTATGATTGTTTTGTTTTGTTTTAATATGAAAAGAAATACATATATGATCCTTATGCTCTAATTACCAATCACGTATATATATATATATATATATATATATATATATATATATATTGCTTTATCATGTGTATCCTGTATATAAAGATATTAGTTTAGCAGAAGAAAATGTTTATCATTTTAGTTGATGGTCTTATCTTCTAGCATCGGTTTCATTAAGAGGGAAGGGGGGGCACCAGATATATATATGCGCCACACAATAATAATGAGAATAGGAAGAGATAAAGAATGTAAGGTGTGTATAAAAAGGAAAAAAAGAGGACAATAACGAACACAAATCAGTGTAATAGTAGTAATAATAATAATAGTGGGGGAAACGGAAAGGTACAGTCAGAAAGAATTCTTTCAGCTAAGGAAGAAGCAACCACTTTTTATGAAGAAAGTAAATGAAGGTTACAGCAGGATTGCCAGTGGTTTCTATTCTCAGCCATATCTGATAACGTCTCTAGCCACTGTGTTATACCATCTCTGAGACCCCAACCAAGGAGTCGTGAATGACCAATAGATGCCAGTTCTGTACAGCTTTCTTTCATACCACGACACTATTTCATACACTGACTACTTTTCCGCTTTTTTCAACCAATCCCAGAGTCGGCGAATAATGCATGACGACGAATTCTCTGGGACGATATTTGTCGAACATGTTCAAGCCACCAAAGTTGACGTTTCAAGATAGTGACATCAATTGAATTATCGTCTCTATGTCCAAACACACGATGCTCAACCTCTGCATTACTAACATGATGTTGCCACTAGATATCAGCAATCGTTCAGAGACAACGATGATCAAATACAGAGAGTTGTCTAACATCCTTAACTTGAAGAGGCCAGGTTTCATATGTATAGAGTAAAACTACTCTCACCAACGCTACTCTTATAGCTTAGTGTTCTTGAACACTATTTCACTCGATAAGTCCCCAAAAAAATAAACTGTGGAATAGGAATGTAATTGTATTCCAAATAACAAGGTTGGGTGGAATTAGAATCCACAATAATCTATATCCCGCTAACATCATTATCGACTTTAATTATAAGAATGTAAATATAATTCAAATAAATATCATCTTGGCTCATTTAATTAAAGGGCTTGTATTGTATAGATATATGGAATACTTGTTATATACTGTCTTATGTTGAGTGAAAAGTATTGATGTAGTATCAGTTGGTATCTATTTCAGATGGCGATAATCGAAAAGGTTTATATTAATAAAAGGGCATTGAAAGGAAGAATAACATTTGATAGGGTATAAAAATATGTTCAATTTACCCTCTATCCCTTTATTTATATGACCTATCAAAAATGTAACTTTCTAAACTCTTAACAAAGAGTCTACCTGTTGGGGATGTTACATCCCCACAACTCACTTGGTAAATACCTTATTTTTGTAATTTTATTTTGAATTTCCTTGTTTTCGCGCCGAAAGCGCTCTCTTCACCTTTATGTCGTATTTCCTATTCGAAAGAATCTTAAACGCTATTGGTTCGTTGTATCTTTTAGTATGCTATTTTGTAACACTTCCCAAGGACAGTTTTATGCTGTATATATGCGTTTGATTTGTGCCTGTTGTGATCGCTCGTGGTTCTGGCTTTTTGCAGAATATATTTCCCCGTTTCGAACTTGGACTTCTCTCACTAGTTAGCGGGGCTGAGATTCATCAGAATAGCTAGTTTATTTGATCTTTGGTCGCAAGTTTTTGTTCCGTTCGCAAACTAGGTGAACTAGTAATCGCTTCAAACATAGCAATACCCTTAACAAATATTTTAATATCTTGAGTTCGGTAACAATCTGTTATCCTTATTACTATAATCATGTTATTTCGTATATCTATTTTGAACAGATAGAGGATAATTTATTTATTGGGATGTTTCGAAAGTGCCTGATGAATTTTACGTAATGAAAGTAATCTATGATGTCATTGAATAAGGATTAGAACAATTCAGCGAAGGAAATTCTATTTTCGACAATACTTGATTATTATACCTATTATTATCTTCATTCAATATCATATATTTTTGGTACCATATAGAATACTCAGCACAATGTATTCTAACAAGTTTCCGTTCCTTACTTCTTGATCAATCCTGACAATCAATATTGAGTGATCGCTAGTTAGAAGTTAGCAGTTCAGGAATCGACATCTGAATAATGTATATTCTTTTCACTATAAGTCGATTCACAATCACTCACATAGTTTATGTTCACTGTCTTAGGAACTGATACTAGTTCTGTAGTCTAAACGCAATGATCCAGGTTGAAAACAATCAAATCATGGAAGATAAATCGTTATTGTTTTTCATGTTAGAAGCAGTTATTATCATTCCATTGAGATATTGGAGAAAAACATAAGTAAGTGGGTTTAAGATAATGTTCATTGAGAGCGCAACAGTAAATCAACCGCAAACATTAGTTATGGGTACATGAACATGGAACCGGAACTAGAGCTAAGTGAGGAAGTAAAACAAAAATAGATAACTTGTTTAAATATCTAGATGGCAGGAACAAGTAGCCCAGATGTTCATACAGGCCGCCAAAATATGGATTTGAAATTTACATAAGTTAATTTGATCAAATTACTGATGTTTAATTTTCGTCCTCTGTCCAATGTTTTCAGAATAACCAGAATCGTGGTTATACATTTCATATGATAGTATTGTTTCATTCAATCGTCTTCTCAATTAGATGTAAATAGGTGATACCTGTTCTCATTGCCTTCTCGTGGCGGGGGTGTGGTTTACGAAATTGAGAGGATAAAAAGCGAATGTTCAGCACTTTAACCGGGTTAATGAAGATGCAGAGTCCACCTAGGGGAGTTGGAAAACCCTGATTCCAAACCAATGGTGCACATAGGCTCTAGGATCCTTAAGGAACAAATGGCGTATGAACCTATTGTTGGTTACCGGCTACTATGAGCAATTAGGTCAAAGGCTCCGGTTGTGACACTCTAAAGAAACCACCTCCTTCGGTCTGGGTATCCAGGCAGTATTCCAGCCCTCACACAGATCGAATGATTTATGTTGCTCATATCTGTTTGGTGCCTCCTTGTACCATTGTCTGTGTGTTTAAATAAATAAGGTGATACCTGTTACTGAAAAAACATGAAATAGGACTAAATAACTATCCAATTCTCTCTTAGGACATACATCTCTACCTGTGGATTATTGAACTTCTTATGGTTATAGGTTTCATTTACTAATACTAACTCCGTAAATGTAATTTCTAACCTTAACCATCAACTGTAAATCATAATTGTAATTCCTCACACACTGGTTTATAACTCTAATTTAGTCCTAGTTATTAGGTGGACACTCTCAAATTCCGTCTAGCGTCGCTGGAAGGTCGTCCATAAATTATAGTCTCACCGCTTCACATCGCAATTACGACTTCCTAGAAAATAATTTCGAAAAACTAAGTTCTTTATTAGAACAGAAATTTAGAGAAAAAAACAGTCCAGAGAATCTCTACTGAACTTCGATGCACTATGTTTATAGCCTTCAAGATAACTATCATGGCTAATATGATAAACAATGTCTACATAAACAACGGTAAACAAATAACGCAATTATTACACTATGAAAGAGTAATAACATCATCAAACGGGTATTTTTTTGAAAAGACAGCGAACAAGGCATGTTATACATTATGACCTATCAATATGGAAGAACTGATAAATTCCTGTAGCAAAACAATCAAAATAAAAGGTCTAAAGTTTCCAGTTTGATAGCCTTATTGAATGATTAAAATCCTTAAGATAATACAACGATTTCATTTGAAATAAGCTTTGTTTAAACATGGCTGATAAACAAAGATGTGAGCGATAGCCGTGGATTCCACAAAATCCCCAGTCTAATTATAACTATGTGCTAACTAGTGACTAAATTCAAGATGGATTTATTGGAGTTCTAGTGGGAAGTCGTGACCAGTGGAGTTCAATCATTGACATATGGAGACAGTTATCTACTTCAGATAATGAATAAAGGGTTAAGAAAGATCATGGATCAATTGAAGTTAGGTATCAACACTGTTGGATGCAGAGTCAGTGGTCCAGAGTTTAAGTGTTTGACTCATGAATTCAACTAATAAAATAATCAAAAATGAGTTAAATATTATAAATTTAAGCAAATACACGAAACAACAGAGATGTTGTGTATTTTCGAAAATGATTAATGATTAGATAAGTTACTGAATATTAATAAGTAATATGGTATATTACACAAAAGAACGGATCCAGTAAGGAAAACACTATGGAAAGCATAAACACAATTAATACATAATTAATATCAACTATAGTATTCTACCTTAACCGCTTCAGACGCCATCGCGTTATTCACTTAGCCATCGAGTTCTGACAGCCACTTGCTTATGCAGTGGGGTGTAGTTTTTCTTTCTATTCATCAAAGAACATTCATGATTAAGTCTACAATCAATCACAAAAGTCTACTGGTAGTCAAATCTTCATATCAACATACCTAACTTTTAATCACTACACTTTGAAATGAACCAAAAATTTGGTATTTTAAATTACTAACTATAAAATATGCAGAAACTACAGAAGTGAAAGCAATCAGAGTGTACAAATGTCAGAAACACTCATCAGCCATTCATTTTCGGTCTTAAGCTTTAAGCTACTTATAATTTGTAAGTAGGTGAATGTTAGCACGGTTAAAAATTTGGTTTAACATGATATTCTAACTTCAAAATCTGTCTGATGTTATTTTTTGTGATAAAAATTATCATCACATTATATAGTCGCTCATCTACAGACTATCAGTGTTATTTAGATCATATTGGATGTCATTTTTAAGACACTGATAATGATAAATGTTTATCCCGCCATAATATTTTGAAATTAAGAAGTAATCTAATAATGCAAACATTACTTCATATTGGTTATTGTTTTTTTGTGTGCATTAGCCCAAATTAATTATCATTGGTTGGATTAGTGACTAGTTTAGGTTATCATATATGGATCTTGAATGGGCTACTGAATGAATTTTACAAAGTAGGATGTTTTGTAATT